ATCATCGAAAGTATAAGAGATGTAAAAAAAGTTTTATATAAAAGCATTGAATAAAAACACTATATTCAATGATAAAAGTTACTGTCTTTGATACGTTTAATTTAGAATTGATGTAAAAAAAAATTCAAGATGGCTATTTTTGAGGAACATTTACGAACTTCCTAAAGTTAAATAGGCGCCGTATGGCATTTTTAGATTACTTGATAGATTTTGTTAATTCTCTTTTCAACGAGCCATCATAACATAAGATTGAAAATAAGATACCAGTTATATCAACGGTTTTTGTATTTTAATCAAGTAGGCTGTGATGAATTAAAAAAAAACAAAAAAAAATCTATTCGAGGCAACAAAACAATGAAAATAATTTGTATTTGTATTTGTATTTGTATTTGTATTTGTATATTGCCAGTACATTCAGTACAGAGATGTATGTGCAATATTTGTCATACATTACATCAGATGTTTAAAAAAATCAGGGACGCACTCATGAGAGGGGGGTTTGGGCATTACAACTCCAACTCCAAAATTTTATATAAGCGGTCTAGAAAAATTTGATTTTTATAACATTACTTATTGACTTATTATCCATACTTACATACCTAGAAATGGTGGTATAACCACAAACTATCCCCTCGAAAAAAGTCATGCTATCCAGTTAAAGACATTGAAAGACACCGCTTTATTTTACACAATGTATTACCAATGATGCATTGTCCCAGGTCACATTTTGTAGGTGGTTTATCCGCAAGAATATCGAAACTATTATAACAGTTTTACCAGTCCGAGTAATATGGACAGATAAATCTTATTTTTCTAACTGCGAAGTGTATCGACATTATTAACACTACTCGTCACAGGAAAACCTACATGTTGTAGATTCACGTCGAAATCAAGTAATTTTTTTTTAAATTAATGTATTTTATGGCATAATGGGAAGTCATGTAATTGGACCGGTAATCTTCGATGGATCTTTAACTGCTCACCATTATTTACAAATACTCCAATAAACTTCCTTAAAGGATTTTTCTCGACAACGTATGTTTCGAAGGAAGGGTTGGTTTATGCTACCTACCAACAAACTGGCTGCTCAGGTCACAATTCACGAATTATGTACAGTACATTAAATTATAAAAGTAAGTACTTAATTAAAACACAAAAGTAAAGTGGAAGTAGCTACCACTACAATAATAATAATAATAATCATCAATGGCAACACGTTGCCTAAACTAAACTGTCTTGAAGTGTGTTTCACTAATTATGGCCAGTATTTTAAACATCTGGTGTAATTATTTTCATTGTTTTGTTGCCTCGAATAGATTTCGTTTTGTTTTTTTTTATTCGTCACAGGCTACTTGATTAAAATACAAAAACCGTTAATATAACTGGTATCTTATTTTCAATATTATGTTATAATAGTTCGTTGAAAAGAGAATTTAAAAATCTATCAAGTAATCTAAAAATCCAATATGGCGCCCATTTAACTTTAGGAAGTTGGTAAATGTTCCTCAAAAGTGGCCATCTTGAATTTTTTTTTGACATCAATTCTAAATTAAGCGTATCAAAGACAGACTTTTATATAAAACTGTTTTTTATATCTCTTATACTTTCGATGATATAAGACATTCAAGGAAATGACCAATTTTAGTTTTTTTGAATTTACGTCGAACCTATGCGACATTTTGAATTTCCATAAGGAAATTTTAAATAAGCATCCAGAACTGCAAAACATTCCCCATTCTCTATCTTTAATAATAACAAAGTTACCCATGCAATCCCACCCGATTTGGAACACACTGTATACCTACCTGTAAGTACTATGATCACAAGATGAAACCTCTTACGAGCTGACCATTTAATATCAAAGCCCCGAGCCCGTATGGGGGTGAGCTAGTCGACATAAAAAGATTTACCAGAAAAAAATTACCTCGGCATTTACCGAATGTTCACCGAATGGCAAAATTTTAGGAGACTTCAGAATTTAAATAGGCGACGCACGCAACCTACCGCCATGTCAGTACTTACCAATACTTAATTAGTCTCATGTCGGCTGAGGTCTCTATTACGCGAAATGTTGTTCCAATTAAACGATTAATTAATCTATTAGTTTGGTTCAATTAAGCAGAATCGACTGTATTTAAGAAATGATATTCTTACAAAAGGGCAGATGTCTTCTTTTATCGCTGGCATGTATTGTCGGTGTACCTACCCCCATACATCAAGTCTTTATCTTGTACGAAATGTAGCAAAAGTTGCAACAATTTCGAAACACTGAAGGGAAAGATCAACTAGATCAATTAGAAGTAAAATCGAATTCATTTGCTTCCTGAACAGTTTGTGTTCCTTCACTGACTCTTCTTGCTGCCTATTTTATAGCCGATGGCCGATGCGATTGCGCTGGGTCCATTGAACGTTTATTTACTTACGGAATTATAGATAAAAGTCGAGGTATTTTAAATTTGATATATCATTTCTTGCTTTGGCCGATACTATACACATGCGTATGCATATTTTCTTGCTTTTGTAAAATCTTATATTCCCACTTCAAGCAGTTCGGGGTGTTATAAAAAGATGTTCCAAGCAGCTCTCTCAGTAGCAGATAATAACTAGTCCATGCCATTAGGGACTAGGTAACAATGTGCAGGATATAGCCAGATGGATTCGTTTGTATTCCTTGTTAGTTAAAGAGCCTGGGAAATTGTAAGTGCAATTTAAGTTATATATATAGTACAGTGGTTGATCCATAGTCTCGTATTTGGGATGTACTTAAATGAAATTTGATTTGTCTTTCCCAAATTTAATTTAATTTTTGTTACATTTCTGCTTACATATATGTATATACAGTCATATTCATGTAGAAGTAGACATAGGGACTTCCTATAGGATAAAAAGTCTTCTGAAGGACGCCTAACTTTATGCAACCAAAATAACTACCTACAACAAATGTAGATCTGCCTGTCATATTAATTAATTTCATTATTATCGGTTTGACTTCCGTATTCTAATTTTCGTTTGTGTGCGATATATTCAACTAAAGTAAAAGTTGATATTTCCACATGGTATAGTGCCGGTAACAGTTAAAGGAGCTTAAGAGATATATTTGGTGTGAAGCCAAAGCAACAATATTCAAATTAATATGACAGCCAGATCTTTATTTGTTTTAAGAAGATAAGTTGGGAATCGTTTTTTTACATAATCCGTATAGGCATTGTTTAAATACTTTATAAACAATGGTATAGGATTTTTCCACATCGTCGGGTTATTATTCCTTCAGTATGTTTACATAGCATCATGCAAAAAATGGTAGGAAATACGTATGTAGGCAGCCCTACAGACAGGGCTGCATTGTGGATAGAATACCCATTACATCAACAACTTCTATTGACCAATTACTTAAAGAATGTTTCGTTATTTATTTGTACAGGTTGTCTATGTCGTGAAGTTTTACATGGTAATCTGCATCATTTGTTTTTGTAGTAAAAATTAAAGATGCTCCGCAATAAACCCATTCTCGTTTTTGGCATGTCTTAAATTTTTTTACGCTTTTTGCACTGTCTTGCTATGACTTACATATTGGCGTCGTTTCAGATTGAATATTTTTTACGTACGCATCTAAAAAATTGACTCTTGTACAATATTGGGTAACTCTTTTTCTTGGATTAACTTGCAAAAAGGATTCATTTAATATAATATAATATTTGCACAGTCGTAGATGGAGTGAAACCATTAACATTACTAACGTGTTTCTTACAATGCCTTGTTTTTTACGACTTTCTAGAGGTTTGCCCAATTTAGAAATTTGTGAAATAAAAGTAACAGCTCGCAGGCTAATATTTAATGCATCCGCAGAAAAACTTGTTACATATACCAATTTACCAAAATAACCACTCACCTCTCTTACTGCTGCGACTGGTAAAAGTGGACCACAATTATCTCTTCCTCGTTCAAAATAACGAATAGGATTAGGAATAAGTTGCTTACGTTTTCTGGGCAAACCCGATGGCATCTATGGGTTATTCAATTTTGCGCAGAATATCGTATAGTGAGACTTGCGGAAGTTATGCTTCTATTATTTTCCATTATGAAACTAACTGATTTTTTATCGGCTAATGTTGCAAATGCGTTCACATTTTTATTCCCCCGACCTCCCCTCGAAACTATTTCAAACATGACGGACGATAAGTAGAATTCTTATAACTTAGCAAGTGCAAGTCTGATTTAATTAAATCAACATTTACAGAAATGCCCAACTGAATTGGAATAAGATGAAGATAAAGGAATTAAAAATAGGTTCGATTTAGAAGTGCCCGTATTTTAAAATCAATTAGTCAATAACGAATTCGACAGTAAATTGTTACGAAGTACTTTCCATTTTTATTAGATACGTATGTAATTCGAAGGACGATGCCACCGGAAACAAGAAAATAAAGCCTTTGTTCTAATTATGTACCTATTGCTGATATAGATCATGTTGGAAACCAAGTGGAAACTCTAAAACTCGTCCGTTTGTCCGCCGGCCTATCGTAATGATGATGTTACATCAAATATTATTCCTTCCTCCATTACAATGTTGTCGGCCAAAAAGCCAAAATCGTTATTTGTGCATCAATGTTGTTGGGAACGCCCGGTCCAAAAAGTCTGTTAGTTGTGAGTGTACAAAACCTAAGTAGTAGTACCTATCTCGACATGAAGTTGCCTTACTGCTTTCGATTTTTGCACAACATAAATATTTTAAATGGTTTTTTGCGTCCAATAATCTAAAATCAATCATAAATTCAATTAAACCACAAGATAATGCCCACAGTAATAAATAGTCTAAGAAACCGAAACTATTTATACGGTTACTGTAAGAATGTTCTTGGAATGGATAAAATATAAATGTAATTTATACAAAGCTATTAAAAAATGCTTTTCGGGTTATTTAAATTCTATTCAAATTATTCTCTGTGAATTAAATAGTGTAAATTTCTATTTATATTTATATTTCGATTGTCGTCTTTTAGCCTTTCTCTTAACAGTCAGACGTGGATAAAGTGTTAAACATGTTTTCCATGTCGCAAAAAGTAACTAGCAGGTTGTTTTTGAAATTCCGCTTTACTTTAAAGCAAAAGCTTCACTCCATGGTCCCCGATGTTGTTATACCAAATATGCACTTGGAGGAGTGCATTTGGAAAAATTTAGAGAAGTGGCACAATAAGACTGCTCTGGTAATCTGATCGAAATTACTAATCGTAACAATACTATGACAATTTCAGGTATGTGCGCAAACCAATCGCAATTACACGTATTTGCAATTGCACAAAAAGAGCAACGCACTAGCAAGTTTCTTGTGCAACCTGGATAAACTAAAACAGTCTGATACAGTTGCTGTAGCACTGCCCAATCTTCCGGAATATGCGATTATTGTACTAGGCGTTATTCAGGCAGGTTGCAAAGTAACCACTCTAAATCCTTTATATACTTCGGGTACGTATGCCATACTTTTTTGTACTCCATGGACTAAAACAATGTGTTTGCCCTTTCATTTGAGGAACTAAAGAGTCATTTGGGTAATTAGAAGTGGAAGTGGCAGTAAACAATTAAATGCCCAACAAATTAACAATTATTGCACTCCTTTACGGTCAGTGCACTCAATAGTGTAGACTTAATAATTGCCCATTAACTCAGCCTGTTCAGCATTTTTGAATATTCATTTCTACACAGTCGCTTTTTAAACTGATGTTACCCCTTCCCCTTCAGGTAAGCAAAAATTTGGCGGCCATGACCCCCATGTATTTCATTGACGTGGTTGAACAGTTACTTTTCACTCTTGTATCGTAGGTAATCATAATATAATATTTTGTACCTACTCGTATAGCACTTGACAGTGTTATTGTAAAATTCCCATTTATGTTTACAGGCGAAATGAGTTACCAATTGATACGTGCAGAACCCAAAGTAATATTTGCAACACCTGAAACCTATAAAACTGTACAAATTGCATTGCAATTAAGCAAACTTCACATACCAACCATTGTTGTTAGAGCAAAGGTATACTATTCACGTAGTGAATGGAGTTATAGTGATCTGTGTCTACAGAACGATTCTACCTTACCACATGGGGCAATCGACTTCGAGGAAATTACTCGAAATCATTGCGACGCGAACTTTGACTTACGCAGAAGTCACGATGACACTGTATTAATGTTATTTTCAAGTGGAACAACAGGTTTACCAAAGGGAGTTGAGATTACCAGCAGAGGTTTGGTATCCTGCCTGCACCAATTATCGGCACCCAAACTGGATCGTCTATCCGAAACGAGCGGTAAGAGAAAAATCAAAGGTTGCTGACGGTAAATATTTTGTAGAATCTGAGCAGGAGGTTGTCCCAGTAGTTATACCAATGTTCCACATATACGGATTGGTGGTTAACCTTCTCCATGGCTTGTTGAAAGGAAGCAAGTTAGTAATCGTTCCAAAATTTTCATCAGAACTCTTTGTGAATGTCTTGGAAACGTACAAACCAACCGTCCTCTATGTGGTGCCACCAATATGTACAAGAAAAAATTAAAAGATGGTGTTGACTGAACAGTTTGATTTCAGTTCACATGATGTTAAATAGCAACAAGTTTAACTTGTCCCACTTCACTAAGACGAAAAGTATAAACTCTGCGGCTGCACCTCTGGGAGCCACAGATATTATGGCTTTAAGCGAGAAACTACAAGGGAAAGTAGATATTTTCCAGATGTATGGTCAGACTGAAGTCTGTGTGACTCACGTTCAGAGTTCACAAATAGATGATCATAGGAAACCAGGAGGAATCGGTTTTCTGCTACCTTCAACTGAGGCCAAAATTATGTCGACCACTACCGGGAATGAAGTCGCCGCTAACCGGGTGGGAGAGATGTACCTTCGTGGTCCTCAGGTATATATATAACCCTTTGAATCGGCGCATTCTGACAAGAGAGTAATAGGTGATGAAAGGATATTACAAAGATAAAAATGCCAACGACGCTGCGTTTACTAAGGATGGATGGTTCAAAACAGGAGATTTGGGTTACTATGATGAAGATGGTCATTTTTTTCTTACAGACCGAGTGAAGTATCTCATTAAGGTTTGTCACTAATGAGACAGTAATGTTAGCTACTAACAATTTGATAGGTAAATGGATACCAAGTGGCCCCGGCTGAGTTGGAGGATTTAATAAGACTCCATAAAGACGTAGACGACGTTGCCGTGATTGGAGTCCCTCATAAAAAATTTGGGGAAGTGCCCAAGGCATTTGTGGTTCGTAGACGAGATTCAAACGTATCGTCATTTGCATTTCAGGAATTTGTAAAGAGTAAGGTTGTACATTATAAGCAGTTGATTGGAGGAGTATCTTTCGTGGATTCTATTCCAAAATCCCAAGTAGGAAAGGTACAGAAAAATGAACTAAATAAATATTAACGCATTTATTTGTAATTATGGGTGCAATAAAATAACTATAATTCTCTGTCTCTGAATTTTAAATTCACACGCCAAGTTAATATACAATCAGTGCTGCTCAACCCTATGCCGGCGGGCCACGGACAAATTTCGAATGGCCCGCACAGGCGCCGCCAAAACTCTAACGTTTCTTGAATCCTATTGAATACAGATTGCATTTTTTATTGCATAACCCCTAAAACTAAAGGGTATTAACAATAGAAATGTTTATGGTTTGACTTTTTCGTTGCCACAATTGAATGGTGTTAATGTGGAAGGGTTTAGGTTTCAACAAGACGGCGCAACATGCCACACAGTGCGCGAGACAATCAATTTATTGCAGGAAACGTTCGATGAGAGCATAATTTCGTGCAATGAACCTGTGAATTGGCCTTCACGATCTTGCGATATCACCCCTATGGATTATTTTCTGTGGGGATATGTGAAATCGCAAGGCTAGCCAATAAACCACAGACGTTGGACCAGCCGCGGCGCCCATACGCCAGAAATCTTATTTTAAACACTAATGGCATAAAATTATCATTCCAATAAAGGCGATACCGTGGCCACTATCAGTATTTTTATGTGCTTTATTAACGATCCTCGAGATCATTCATAATTTTGTATTGCTGTCTGTCTGTCCGTCTGTCCGTGTGCACGACAACTTTGTGTGGAAACGTCCGATCGCTTTGAAAATGGATACACTTGTTCTTTAGGATATACGAAAGATCGCTATTGTTTTTCGGCTTCGTAGACTAACGGACCCAAAAGTTACAGCCCAAAAACTGCTCTCCAAAAAAGGGCTTCTTTTCTGGTGGGACAGAATCAACCCCTTAAGGTGTGTTGTAAAAATGATGTATGTGTGAAGATCGCGAGGATCGTTCGGTATTCAGTTGTATCGGATTTTTTCATTTTAAAGTTCTATACCTGTAAAAAACACCCTTTACAATAACGATCGCCGCCAGTGGCCCGCTGAAAATGTCTGAATCGTTCGTTTGGCCCGCTCGTTAAAAACGTTGAGCAGCCCTGGTATAAAGCATTCGTAATCGTAATTTCAAGAAATATAGACGAATCACCCCAGTTCAATTTTAGCTGCAATTTTAGTTGCATTATGGCCTTTTCTCGCAAACTATTATGGAGGTGTTTGCACCCGTTTTACGATTACTTAGGTCTTAATGATTCCATAGGTTGAAAAGTGCTCAGTGCAAAGGTAAAACGAAAGATAAAATTTGCAATTAAAATTATACCGTAATTCCCACTAAAATTTCTGATTTTTTCTTCAATACTATTATGCGAATTTGAACGTGCATAATTATAAATGAATGCCCATTTTAAACATGGGTTCAGCAAGCTATGAACCGGATATTCAGAATTAATTGCACAATCAATTAAATTATTATTAAAATAAATTGTTTTTATGGAAATTCTTAAAATGGACTCAACTTCACAATCTTTAAATATAAAAAATACTATATACAGGGTGAGTTTTTTTTTCATTTTAACCATTAGGGTCTCGAAAACCGTAAGACATAGAGATTCGGTTAAATGAGGAAAGAGTTTTAAGAGCTTATTCAAGATATGCTTTTGTTTCTTGAAAAAAATCCACAGTATACTAGATATGAGCGAAAAACAGAGTTAATGATTTTTCTTTTAAATGTTGTAGACTCTTAGTAAGTATTAGTTATTGTATTATACTATGGTATTAGAAATACAGAAATATGCAAAGAACAAAAATTGTAGATTTTTTTCCGCTTAATAATTGATACATTTATTAATTTCCATTCTTCTTTTATAATTTTCGAGTTATAACATTTCTTTAAATGCCAACCATACTTGGCTGTGACAATTTTAAAAAGTGCATTTTTTTCTGTTTACAGTGATATAAGATTCTTACTTTGACAAATAAACATGATACAGAACTGGTTGTATTATTGAGACTATTGAGAGTAGTAAAAGCAGAGTTTGCCATGGGAACCATTTTGGTCAATGGTCCTCTTAATTACTCAGTCAATTATAATATTTAACTTAAAACCTTAGGGACACAAATAAATTTCTACTTTGAAGTAATTACATGTCAAAAAACTAATCTGTCTCGGCAAATGTTCAAAATTATTTACACACAAGCAGCATCTCTTCGCAATAGAATTTACAGCACAACATCACGTATAGTTCTTCTTTTGTCGCAGAAGTTCGCTGATAAATTAAACCCTTTTAGGACACCGAAAAGAAAAAAATGTAAAATTGGTGATCTTGGACCGACCCGTTCCTACCTATCCATGAAGTTGGAAATAATTGGTTTTGGTGCTCTCGTACTTGTAGTTGGTTGTGCGGCGGGGCACCGTTATGTTGAAACCAGTGTAAATTACGTCGTCGTGTTTCATTTGGTAGAAAATGAAGATTGTAGCACAAGTACCGTAACCAGACTGAACTAACTAAATTCAACTTTTTAAATTCAAAGTTGGCGCCTTATTCAATTTCTGATAGTACGTACAATTATTCATACTTACAAGTTAGAATATCAGACTTACGTATTGCGCAGGTAACGTTCATTAAAAGCGGTATCTCCTATTTAATCTTAAAACAGCCATTAGGCCAATTTTTACCATATTTTTTATATAATTAATTGAAGTGATAAGGCTGGTGTTAGGTAAGTGGTTAGCTTTTAAATTTTACCTTGCATTTATTACACTGGTGTTAGTTAGGTTTTTTGGGAATTGCGAATATAATTATTGTGGATTGAAAAAAAAGCATTTTTGAAGTCTGTAATTGTCATCCAAAACCCATACCCGTTCAAGATAAAGTTGTCCTGTCAAATTTTCGTCGTAAATGAAACGTCCAAGAATTCGCGATTCAATAATTTCACACCAAACATTAATCCAAGTTTTCTTTGAGGCCTTCAAGAATGAAGATATTTCCATGGCATGATACGATCTACTTTTAATTAGTGTAATGAATATGGTTATTAATTTCACTTTCATAGTGAATTTTCGAAGATGGCTTTGAAATGTGTCAAATGTGCCACAGTTACACTATTAACTACCTCACAAGATATTGTTTTCCATGGCAAACTCTGTTTATTTATCTCTCAACAATACGAAATTTTCTGCAGCGCGTTTATTTAATAAAGTACGTTTAGCAAGCCTTATATCGTTATACCTACAGAGAAAAATTTGTCCTT